ATTACTCTATGAATTTTATTAGGATATTCTCTATAAAATACATTATAAAAAATAATTCATTTTAAGTGGTATACCCTATATATAATTTTATGAATATATAAGTCACAGAATTGAAGGGAAGAATGTAACTACAACTTACTCCTTGACAATGAAGATAGTCAACTGTCTTAGTTATTACAAACAGTACATCACTAGCTTCCCGTTCTGAGAAACATTTTTGTTTGAGAATACGGTCAAGTAGTTCTCCTCCTTTCATCAAATCCGTAACAAGATAAACATATCTACCATCATCATAAACCTAAAAAAGAACACATTTAAAAAATATTTATAATTACAATTCTAAAATGTTTAAATTACACCTACTTTGCTTTTCTAGTGAACCACTAGTGTTAAAAAAAAGACATTATTTCTTTATTGTTAATATAGTACAGGCTGTACTGAAGATTAAATTGCCTAAACAACCTCTTATACACTCCTGTGAGACCATGTTAAACATATAATTTTATTAATTTTTCCGGTAGTATGTTACATTTCATCAAAGGATACAAATGGAAAAATAGAACTCTTTGCCTCTCAAATGGCATCTATCTCATTTTTTTACTGTATTATAGACACTTCTCTTCCCTACTAATAGTAAGTTTCCTTTTGGCAGTAAATATACTATTAGTTCATTATCTGACATGGTATCTTAAATGTTTGCTGAATTCAAATACTATATTAAGGAAAATAAATTCAAAAAATACGTGTACCCTTTTATTCAGGGCTTGTGAGATAGATAAATTAGATAGATGATAGATAGATGATCAATAGATAGATAGATGATAGATGATAGATAGATGTAAACTACTGTTTAAAAATATTAATCAGAGTGCATATCATATTATCCAAAACAAACAGATTGAGGTGATGGCTGAATTGTTTGCCTTCTCTTAAGAGAAAAGAGTATTATTTTCTTATGTGAAAAGTCAGCATTCAGGAACATCTATTTTTTTTAAGTAGCACAGATTTTTATTGTCAAAACAAGTAAGATATATGAGCATAAGAGAAGACACAAATAAATTAACTGTTCTCATTATTTCAGATTCCAGGGCCTCTCTATGGAAAGGTCATCCCAGTGGGCTATGTAGACAGGATCCTTCCAAAGCAGGAACAGCAGGGATTTGAGACAGTGTTCAGGATAATGACTGAACACGTCCACAGTGAAGAGAAATGAATAGGTGCTCTCCCTGGTTCCTTTCCTCAGTAAGCTCTATGTTTATACAGGTATGAGCCTCATTTGGGGGGAAATGATTGCATACAGAAAACATTTTCATCCTTCCACCTCTAAGAAAAAGTTTCAGGCCCTGGTGGCACTTGTTTCATATGAACATCCAGACTATAATCTATGTATAGTTACCACCATCTTTACTTTTAAAGAGCTTAACATCCATATATATATACCAAAGCAGTAGGATGAATATTTTCCCTTACATAGTTTTCTACCAAATTGGAGTTAACTTAATCTTATCGTAAAGTACAACATAGGCTTTGCAAGACTTGTGTTTGTTGACACATGAAAGAGAAGGACTGCTCAGCAGAACTGTCCTGGAGGCACTGCAGTAAGAACTGGCTCTACCTGATAGTGAGGGCTCCAGTCTCCATGCAGGAGGAGGGTCCCTGACAAGTCTGGCTTTTCTTTGTGCCCAGATCTCAAACATATTGTAGGTCTTCTCACTGATAAGTCTGGACACAAAGCACCAGCAGTAGAGAGCGCCAGAGACTAGTCAGTGAGCACCTCTATGCCATGACTCCCCCATGCTCATGCTGACCTTGGAAAAGGAATCAAGAAGCCTTAGTTTGGGAACAAAAAAAAATTATCGGGAACAAAGCAAACATTATCTACCTCGTAAGCAGTGGTAAAGTTCTTGTCTAGGCTAAATCGTGCAAAAATAGGAGATGAGGCCTCCATACATTACTGCTGAGATTATTTACTATAACTTTAAATTAAAGTAATACACAATGGCTTCTTCCACACAAGGACAAGCTTTGCACAAAAGTTTCTCAAAAACCAATGATGTCCCCAGTTCTAGGTTCACTTTAAGAGGCTTTAAAAAAAAAACCAAACCTTTCCTATGTCAAAGCCAGGGTAATAAGGAAGTCAGGGTAAGACACCCACTATCTGGAGTTCCTGGAAGAGAAACCTCTAGAAGCTGGTAGGTGTGCGCACATTCAATGCATGGGATTTGAGATTATGGGTCCATGGTGGCTGTGTCTTCCCTTCCATCACTGGGATGTCCACCTTGGGTGGCTTTAAGGTTGCTGAATCTTCAGCCATTTGGGTGGCCTGCACGTGGATCAGTTCCTTTGGAGAAGATTTGTCAGCTCCTCGGTAGGGCTGCGTGGCAAAACCTCCAGAATCAGACTTCTGGAAGGATCTTGGTCCAAAGAAGCTCCATTTTTCTGCCGAGTTTCTGTCTTTATCCCTACTTCCAGAATCCATGGTGCTAGGATTTGTGCCAGGTAAGGCTGTGTAAGAGCCAGAAGAGAACAAGTCTCTAGGCTTCTGCTTAGGGGAAGAATGGAGGGTGCTGCTGGGGGTAGACTGGGCTACGGCCAGCTGCTTCTCTTCTCTCATTCTCTATCCACTCTGTAGTTTTAGTTTGTGGAGTGCTTCTGCCACTCAAAGATACTTGGTATCCTAGGTGGTAGGCCATTGTGGGGTGTGTAGCCAGCATCTGTTGCTCAAAACACTGAATACTCTCCTGGGTCTGTTTTGTGATGAGAGAATTCATGACGACACAGGTGGCTTTAGCCTTCACCATGGGGACCTTGTCCATACTGTCAATAGCCAACAAGGACACACTGGCCTCTCTTTCCTCCACTAGACACTTCTGGTTGCCTCAAAGCCACTGAAAGACTGGGATCCAGGAGCTCTTCCTATATAGATAGATTTCAGAGCTGAGTCCCTGCCACCAAAGTGAAATGATATGATGATTACACTGAGAGATGTTAATGAGGAACAGTGTCCAAGTGCTGCAAATTAACTAAGTTGCTTGAAAACAGTTTATACATTTCAGAGGTTCTATTTCGCTGCTGCAGAGTTGCGTGCAGCCCAAGTTCCAGCACTAAAGAGGCTGTGAGGAACCACATCTCTCTAGACTAGAGGTTGTGGTGCAGTAGGGACCCAAGCCATGGTGTGATCTGCACTGTGTCAGTCATGGCCCTAAAGGACTCGGGCACTGACCAGGGAGAGTAAACTCAGTAACATCTATTAATAATGACTTATATGTTCATTTTACAAAACTATAGAGTAATACAATTTCACTTAAAAAACAATCCACAGTGCAACAGCTTATTTCTGTAGAGTTAAGAATGTAAAATGTAGAATTTTGCAGATTCCCCACGTCTGTATTTATAGTACCACAGAATAATAAATGGTACTGGTTATAATGTTAACTAGTTAACTAGCCAGAATATATTCAAGTAATCAGGACACTTTAATGTACCAATTACCATAGTTCCTTTCTGATGTTTTGTACACAGGGTAGGAATATAGAATCATAAGGGGGAAAAGAATTGAAATAGCAAATTTAAGAATCTTGAGATTGTGATACATGATAATAAATATGCCATAGACACAAAAAGTTTCCAAAATAAAATAAAGTGCCAAGTCATAATCTCATTAGCTTAGCTTTTGAATTAGCTTAAATACCTACATCCTTTAAAGTGATAATGTTGGGATGTTGCCCATAGCGCATCAAAATTTCAATTTCTTCTGAAGGATCTCTCTTATTTTTGTCAATGATCTAAGAAATAAGACAAGACAAATCTCAGAGGAAAATAAATTATGTTTTTTGTCTACGTATTAATGGTGTATTTTCAATTTGGTTATATTTTTGAGCAAATGCTTAAAACTCAAGAATGATACTTGACTCATATTATTTTAACAGATAAAAATGTCCTATAACCAAAACAATAATAAAAAGACCACTTTCTTTAACATTATATTCCATTTAACTGAAGCTATACTAACTCATAATGTGATCCAAATGTAATAGTAATTGTCACAATTACTCAATCTTAACATACTGCCTTAAGATAAAACTATTCAAAAGCAAGGCATTCATGCAATACAATGTTTTTCCAAAATAAATCTTGGAAAGAAATTCAAAATGAAAATATTAAGTCTTAAGAGGTTTTCCTCATTATCTTATCTTTGCAATCTCCACTAGCTCCATCAGTTAATGTGTCACTTAAGTTACATATATCCATCGGTTAACGTGGCACTTAAGTTACATATATAACCAAAAAAAAGTTAGGTTCAAGGACAATACCTTCACTGCAAATTCCATATTTGTAACTCTATGTATGCATCGCTTGCAAACAGAGTAGGAGCCAACACCAATATCTTCTTTTAATTCATATACTTCACCAAATTGTGCAGTATTTCCATTTATCTGTTTTTTTAAAGTGAAATACTAAGAATAATGAAATATTTTCACATTTTTATCTTTTCTTCTAAATATATATACTATGGGGCAACAGTTGTTTGTATGGAAAATAATACAATAATAAATAATACAAGAATAAACTGTGTTTTGCATACTCACAACTGTAAACCTACTTTTACTCCACACTGTATTCATCTTGAATCTTTAAAAACTCATGAATAATCCATTCTAGAAAAGTTTTCTTAGTATTTATAAATGGCTTAATTAGATCTGAGCTGATCTTTAATTGTAGGCTTTCTAGATCCCCAAAGCCAACAAAATAAATAAACTAGCTTACTTATCACCATTATATTTTCTTGCCAAAAGAGATTACTAAATATAATTAAATGTTACTACTGTCTAATTTATTTTAAAACATATGGAGACATCTTTAATTCATTATTATACAGAGAAATAAAGTTAAAATCGCTTAAAAATTATTGTAAATTCATTAGAAATAACTGAAGGAAATAATTACCCCTAAACTAAATAATCTGATTAAGTGAAATTTACCTGAATAATTGATAATACATTTGCACTTGTGATAGGAGTGATTTTATATTCTTCTGCAATAGAAGTTGAAACAAAGCTGAATCCTTTGAAGAGTTGATGAGCATTAGCACTGGCTGGCAAACCAGGAGAATCTAATGTCCAAATAATTGTATTTAATTAAAATTACACAGACTTCTATTATATAAAATGTCAGCATTTCTTTGAATATAAATAAAACCATTAAATGTTAGTATCAGACATACTATATTATTTATTTGATTTATTGTACATTACCTGTCGCCCCATACTACTATGCAAGCTACATGTGGATTGCAATTTCTGTTTGTTCTGTTCACTGCTGCATCCTCACTGGTGAATACATTGTAGGTATTCAATATTTGTTGACTTAGTATACAAAACAGTTTCCACTAAAAGTAAACCTCATTAAATTCTAAACTGTAAGAGTCAGAGTGATATATCTCATGTCTTACCTCCTATCCTATTAGCATGTGAAAAGACTTTTAAAACAAAACAAAGAAACCTTTTAGCCTTCACTCTAGTAGTCCCTGTTTCTCTGATAAATATTTCCCATTTAAAGCCTGTACTTGAAAGGTGCCCAAGCAAAGCTCTTTGTAGAATCCAAATTTCCATAAGGGATAAACCAACCCTATGCAACCATATAATTCTTTTAGTTTTTACTTAAGAAGCTAGTTTACTTTTTAACCATCTAATTGAATAAAAAGCCCTGATGTTACACATAAACATGCATTACCTTTAGGTGTTTTTGCAGTAAATTCAGGATCAAAACAAAAAGTATCATCTGGTTTTCCAGAAGCAGGTTTGAAAGGAGGTTGAATTTCTCTTTTATATAATTTCTAGAAGCAACAGAATAACACAAAAATATAATAACACTTTAAAAATTATTATATTTTGTAAGGGAAAGCAAAGCATAATACTCATAGTCCTTAACAGAAGAATCAAAATTTCATAAATGAAATTTGAACAAGCTTCAGATACCTATTAACCAAATTCTAAAAATTTGAGAAAAAATGTACAGAATCAAGTGACACCAGGAAACACAGTAGTGACGTGACATGCTGCATTTACAAAGAATATGATGTTGGGTTTTGGATATAAAATATTGTCTTGAATTTTTGCTGGTAAAATAATCATGCAGAATATGTTGCAATGTTGCCATGGTGAAATAACTAACAATACTCAAATATTTCAAAATTGATAATTAGACCATCTTTAATAACTTTATATTTCACTTAAAATATTGTTTTCACATAAAAATATTCATCAAAGGTATTACATAGGGCTCTTATTATAGAATTCAAAATTTTAATCTTGCCTTACAATCTAACTTGCTAAAATTTATATGTTTATGAAAGACATAACATCTTGCAATATATGAACATCTACTTTTTGGGGGAAATCTATGTTTTTTTAAAGCTCACAGACCCATAGAAGAGGAAACTTAATAAAGAATTACTTAAGTAATTTTCATTTATATTTATATAAACATTCCAGTCTTTTTTTTTTTTTTTTTTAAATATCTTTATTGATTTCATAGAGAGGAAAGGAGAGGGAGAGAGAGAGAGATAGAAACATCAATGATGAGATAGTCATTGATCGGCTGCCTCCTGCACGCCGCCCCCCACTTGGGATCAAGCCCGCAACCCGGGCATGTGCCCTGACTAGGAATCGAACCCCAATCACCTGGATCCTAGGTCAACGCTCAACCACTGAGCCACGCCCAGCTGGACTTTTTTTTTTACAGTTAAGAGCAATGAACATAAACTGTTCAAATACAAGAACAATGGAAAATAAGAATTTCCAGTTTGCTTAGGTAAGAGAAAAAGGAAAAGTAGAGAAGCATTAAAAAAAATTATAAGGGGCTACAAAACACCAAAAGAGGGATGTACACAGATATGACAAAGGGGGAACTCCCATTACCATGTCAACTGAGTGGCATTTTAGGGTCTTAATACTAATAACTTACAAAAAAAAAAAAGTAGCCTTCTAAAATGTGTTCTATAAGCCAGATGAAATAATGAATTGGTCAGTGAATAGTGGTTCTCTACCCATTCCCTAAAAATCAAGAGAGTTTTTTTTTGAAAAATCTTTCAATACCGATATTAGAGCTAGAAAATAAAAAAACACTTACCTATGATGATTGCTAGTACATAAAACACATAAAGATGTGTTGTGAAACAGACAACAAAAATGGGTTTTTGTAAGGAAAGTTTATTAGAATAGGGAAGAATATTAACCATACTTAACAGGTAAAACAAATGAGAAACAAAAATTTACTAAATAACAAAAATTTAAGAGTTGTAACTTAAAAAAATTCTCTACAAGACTTAATAGAAATTCACAATGTTTCTTTTTCATGTCCTCTCAAAATTTAATGAAATACCTGTACAAAAACATTCACTTCTTAAGAAATTTAATTTGTCTTAACACATGACAAAAAATCACTTGAAATTAAATAACATCTTAGATTCTTTAGAATTAATTTTCTATAAGAATCTGTCCTATCATTCATCCCTTTTCCCCATTCCCTTCTTCATCCACATTCTCCAACCTAGAATAGGGAAGAATATTAACCATACTTAACAGGTAAAACAAATGAGAAACAAAAATTTACTAAATATCATCCACACATGTACTGGTTTCAGGTATTTTTATTTAAAGGGGTAGCATATCATAGTAATTACCTTGAACCCTAAGATATGTGGATGAATTTGCAAACAACACAGATGGATCTTGAGGGCGTTACACTAAGTGAAATAAGTCAGCCATGAAAGGACAAAATCTTACGATTTCACTCATAAGTGAAATATTTAAAAAATGAACAAACAAAACAATAAGCTCATACATACAGACAACAGATTGGTGGTTACCAGAAGGGAAGTGGGGGAAAGGTGAAATGGGTAAAGAGGTTCAATTATATGGCAACAGATGGAAACCAGACTGTTGATGGTGAGCATGCTATAGTGTATACAGATATCAAATTATGTTGCATACCTGAAACTTATTAACCAATGTTATCCCAATAAAAAAATCTCATACTGATAAAACAAATGCATTTAGTTAACCAGCAAAGTTCCATATATTACCATTTACTCTTCAGCTTTTGCTCATATTAAAGTTACTCAGTAACGAACCTCCTACGGAACTTACATTCCAGTCAATATTTGCAAAGAAATTATGTCTTTTGATTTCCTCAACTCCTTCTGAACCTATAAAAACAGAAAGACATTTTACTGCTATAATTTTTTCATATCTTTATACCTGGCTTTCAAGCTGTTATCTATAAAGAGCAGTACACATATTTTACACATTCCTTGTCATGAAAAGTTTATGATTTCCCACCTGATATTTTATTAATTGCTTCTTTCAATTTAATATGAAAAAATAAATAATATTCATATTGAAGCCCAAAGAATAAAATAAAATATTGAAATGCCTTTTAAATCAAATTAAATTCATGTATGATATAACATTAAATTTTAAGTACATTTTCTTGTCTTCATAACTGAACTTATGATCTCATATCTATATGCCAAATTTAAAAAGTACAACATAATAATAAAGTGACACTGAAATTTTAACATAAGGGCATAAATAGGATAGATAATAGGATTACATCTGGATCCAGGGTAAGGTTAACTGAAAGTGGCCCAATAATAAGCAATTATGGAAACATAATATTTACCTTGAAGAACATTGGAAAGACAAAATAATTATCTTCAAGTGTCTAAAAGGATTACTTATACAATTCTTTGAACTCTTACAAAAAAGGAAATTCATATGATATACATAATGATATATATTAAACAGACCTATGGAATAACTAGACCACTGCATTTTTAATAACATACATAACAGAATTTATTGGAATATTTGCATATAAAAAATGCAAAGTTCTAGGTATAAATATATAGCAGCAGTAAAAGAACTTAAGCCAGAAAACATAAAGTTATAATTATCATCCCAAAGCATGCAGTATATTGTTACAAAAACTAAGAAAATAATCAATACCCAATCTATTTGCTGGATTCCTTTTAAATAACATCCTTAGAAGACTTTGTGCTTCAGCACTAAGAAACTGAGGCATTCCAAGTTTTGCTCTGGAAAATAAGATTTTAGAAAATTTCAATAAAATCTAGCCACACTTTTAAATTTACAAATCTCAAAAAGAATTTTAAAGAATGTTTTCACAGTGGTAAATAATGTCCCCTAAAGCATAGAAGAAGGAAATAAGACAGTATGAAAAAATGTTCTTTCATGTCAATTTAAACCCACAAGTTTTTCAAAACTGAAAGCAAGAGCACTTGATAAAATCCAGCACCCATTTATGATAACTCTCAGCAAAGTGGGAATAGAGGGAACATATCGCAATGTAATGAAGGCCATATAGGACAAACCCACAGACAACCCATCATACACAATGGGCAAAAACTACAAGCATTTCCCTTAAGATTGCGAACGAGACAGAGGTGTCAGCTTTCACCACTCTTATACAATACACTACTGGAAGTCCTAGCCACAGCCATAAGACAAGAATAAAAAATAAAAGGTATCCAAACTGGAAAAAAAAGTAAAACTCTCATTATTTGCACATAAGATGATAATATATATAGAAAAACCTAAAGATGCGACCAAAAAACTACTAGAACTGATAAATGAATTCAGTAAAGTAACAGGACACAACATAAATATCCAGAAATCAGTTGCATTTTTATACACCAATAATGAACTATCGAAAAGGCAAACTAAGAAAACAGTCCCATTTACATTGCTTCCAAAAGAACAAAATACCTAAGAATAAATTTGACTAAGGATGTAAAATACCTGTACTAAGAAAATTATGACACTGAAGAAAGAAATTGAAGAAGATACAAATAAGTGAAAAAATATACTATGTTCATGAATAAGAAAGCATGTTCATGGATAAGAAAAATTAACAGCATTAAAATGTCATTACTACCCAAAGCAATCTACAGATTCAACACAATTCCTATCAAGAGACCAATAGAATATTTCACAGAACTAGAACAAATGTTTCAAAAATTTGTATGGAACCACAAAAAATTCCCAAAAAGAAACAGCGATCTTGAGAAAAAAGAGAAAAGTTGGATGAATCACCCTATGTGATATCAAACTATAGTACAAGGCCATAGTAATCAAAACAGCAAAGCACTGGCATAAAAACAGACATATAGATCAATTGGACAGGTTAGAGAGCCCAGAAATAAATCCACACCTTTATAGTCAATTAATATGTAACAAAGGAGGCAAAAAGATACACTGGACTAAACATAGTTTATTCAATCAATGGTGTTGGGAAAATTGGACAGATATATGCAAAAAAAATGAAACTAGACCACCAACTTACACCACACACAAGAATAAATTCAAAATGGATTAAAGAACAAGATGGCAGAGTAGGTAAACGCAGTACCTGCTGCCTTCCACTACCATAACAAAATTACAACTAAAATACAGAACAATCATCATCCAGAACCTCTTGAAATCTAGCTGAACATAAGTCCTACAACTAGAAAATTAAAGAAGAAGAGTGGAGAATGGTAAAAGGGTGGAGACTCAAGGCAGAATCTGACAAATCCTGGAAACCAGGAACCCGGGACTTGGGTGCAGCAGTTTAAAACCTGGAGCGATCTCTCGGCTGATGTTTCCTGGAGGAGCAAGGTGACCCAGCCCCACATCAGGTCACCCAGCCCAGGGTTCCAATGCTAGGATGAGAAGTTCCCACAACTTAGGGCTATAAAAACCAGCAGGAACCGTGGCTGAGTGATTTGGAGGCTACTGGAGTCCCAGGCAGTTCCCATTAAAGGCCTGGTGCATGGACTTAGATGCACTCGCTCTGAGCTCCAGTGCTAGGCAGCAGCTTGAAAGGAATCTGAAACATTGGGCGAGGAACAAACTTGCCTGGAACCATGGAAAGAGCTGGAAGGGCAGCTTTCCCCCAGACAGAAGTGCTGGCAGAGGCCAATGCTCCTTTGACAAACCCTCCACCCATACAGCCTGCAGGCAAGAGCAATATCTGAATTTCCATCAACCTGGCTCACACTTTTTGCCCCTCCCTGGAGATTCCCAGAGACCCCACCCTTCCCTATTTCTAAGTTCATCAAGGCCATTTCCAGTGGCTTTAACATGAAAGTGGCCTCTCTTCCTTCAGGCTAAAACTTTCTTAAAATCTCTCAAATAAGCAGCAGCTGGCCTCAGAATACCCCATATCTCTCGGTAAGTGGTCCCAGACCTGGCACTAGAGGCAGCCTGCATTGGTTCACAGCCTGGCTTCTCCTGGACACTTCCAAGCACAACAGAAGTAACAACCATCTACAGTTTGCAGTGTAGCACATGTTAGGTGGCCCAGAGGAGGGCACACACAGAGGCTGACTTTGCACTTCCTGAGAGGCCCCAGAGACAGTGTACCTGTTGGTCAGACTCAGCCACTCTGGATTACAACCCTACCACATCCACAACTAACACATTCAAGTGGTGGACTCAGTAAACACCAAACCCCCACTGAAGTAAATCCTGTTCCATAGGGGTGTCTCCCGCACAGCAGCTCTTTGGCTATAGTTGCAGCTGGTCCTCACAGTTGATTGGCCTGGGGGTCAATTCCTCCCAGTGATGCCAACAGCAACCAAGGCTCAACTACAATGGGACAGTGCACACAATCTACACAGGGGAAAACCTAGAAAGATCAGCTCAAGTGATTGGGGAGACTGAGCCACTGGGCCCTACAAGACACCTACAAAACAAAACCACTATACCAACTCCAGGAAATGTAGCAGTTCTACCTAATACATAGAAATAAACACCAGGAAGCAGCCAAAATGCAGAGGCAAAGAAACATGTCAAAAAGGAAAGAACAGAAGAAATTTCCAGACAAAAAACTAAATGAAATGGAATCAAACAAAGTACTAGATACGGAGTTCAAAACAATGGTTATAAGGATGCTCAACGAACTTAGTAAAACTTTTAAGGAAACTAGTGAGATGATCAACAACATACATAAGAATCCGTCAGAAATGAAGGCTACACAACTGAAATGAAGAATAATTTATAGGGAATCAACAGTAGAGCAGAGGATGCCGAGAATCAAATCACCAATTTGGAATATGAGAAAGCAAAAAACACCCAACCAGAAGAGCAAAAAGAAAAAAGAATCCACCTCGCTGGGTGTGGCTCTGCAGCTGAGGGTCGGCTGAGGATCCAGGAGATCTCAGTTTGATTCCCAGTTAAAGCACATGCCTGTGTTCTGGGCTCAATCCTCAGTTGGGGGCATGCAGGAGGCAGCCGATCAATGATGACTCTCATCATCATTGATGTTTCTATCTCCCTCTCTCTCTACTTTGCTCTCTCTGAAATCAATAAAGATATATTAAAAAATAATAATAATCCAGAAATATGAAGATAGTTTAAGGAGTCTCTGGGACAACTTCAAGCAGCCCAACATTTGCATTATGGGGATACCAGAAGGAGAAGAAAGAAAGAAAAGAAATTAAAAACCTATTTGAAAAAAATAATGACAGAAAACTTCCCCTACCTGGTGAAATACTCTTGCAAGTCCAGGAAACACAGAGTCCCAAACAAGAGGAACCCAAAGAGGCCCGGCCAGGCATGGCTCAGCCATTAAGCATTGACCTGGGATCCAGGAGATTGCGGTTTGATTCCCAGTCAGGGCACATGCCCAGGTTGTGGGCTCGATCCCCAGTGGGGGGCATGCAAAGGGCAGCCAATCAATGATTCTCTCTCATCGTTTTATCCCTCTCTCTCCTTCTCCCTTCCTCTCTCTGAAATCAACATATATTTAAAAAAAAAAAAAGAGGAACCCAAAGAGGCCCACACCAAGACATCATAATTAAAACGTCAAAGGTTAAAGACAAACAGAGAATCTTAAAAGCAGCAAGAGAAAAGCAATTAGTTACCTACAAGGGACCACCCATACGACTATCAGCTGATTTCTCAACTGAAACTTTTCAGTCCATAAGGGAGTGGTAAGAAATACTCAAAGTGATGAAAAGCAAGGACCAACAACCAAGATTACTCTACCCAGCAAAGCTATCATTTAGAATTGAAGGCAAGATAAACAGCTTCACAGATAAGAAAAAGCTAAAGGAGTTCATCACCATCAAAACAGTATTACATAAAATGTTGAAGGGTCTTCTTTAAGGAAAAGCTAATAAACAAAATAAACTGACAAACAAATTAGACCCAGACACAATGAAGCATGCAACAGACTGTTTTATCTCAGAGGGAAGAGGGAAGGGGGGTGGGGGGTAGGAAAAGATTAACCAAAGAACTTACATGCATATATGCATAACCCATGGACACAGACAATAATGGGGTGAAGGCTTGGGGAGGGGGTGGAAACAGGGTGGAGAAGGTCAAGGGGGGGGAAATGGGAAACCTGTAGTATTTTCAATAGTAAAGATACATTTTAAAAAATGGATTAAGACTTAAATGTTAGACTCAAAAACCTAAAAATCTTAGAAGAAAACACCGGCAGTATAATCTGGTACACTTCTCATAGCAATATTTTTTTCTGATTTGTCTTCTTGGGCAAGGGAAACAAAAGAAAAAATAAACAAATGGGACTATATCAAACTAAAAAATTTTTGCACAACAAAGGAAACCATTAGCAAAATGAAAAGACAGCCCACTGAATTGGAAAACATATTTGCCAATACACCTGATAAGCCTTCATATCTAAAACTTATAACAAACTAATAAAGCTCAACACCAGAAAAAAACCAAACAATCCAATTAGAAAATGGGCAAAGGATCTGAATAGACACCTCTCCAAAGGGGACATACAGATGACCAATAGACATATGAAAAGATGTTCAATGTCACTAATAATCATAGAAATGCAAATTAAAACCACAATGAGATATCTCATGCCTGTCAGAATGAGTATCATCAATAAATCAGCAAACAGCAAATGCTGTCAAGGATATGCGGAAAAGCGAACCCTCATACATTGTTGGTATGAATGCAGATTGGTGCAGCCACTGTGGAAAGCAGCATGTAGTAATTCAAAAAATCGAAATGGAACTGCCTTATGATCCATTGATTCCACTTCTAGGAATTTATCTGAAGAAATCAGAAACACTAATTTGAAAGAATATATGCACCCTTATGTTCACTGCAGCATTATTTACAATAGCCAAGATTTGGAAGCAGCCCAAGTGTCCATCAGTAGATAAATGGATAAAACAGCTGTGGTACATTACTAGTTCGTAAAAAAAAAGAGAAAGTAAAAGGAAATCTTATCCTTTGCGACAGCATGGATGGACCTGGGGAGCCTTATGTTAAGTGAAATAAGCCAGTCAGAACAAGAAAAGTACCATATGATATCACTCATGTGGAATCTAATGAACAAACTGAGCTAACAAGCAAAATAAAGACAGACTCATAGAGAGCAGGCTGACAGTTCAGGGTGGGGTTGGGGGAGTTGAAAGGATTGAGCAAAAAAGAAAAAAGAGATAAAAAGCTCATGGACACTGAAAATAGTGTGGTGATTGTGGGTAGGGTTGGGTGGAGGTGGAAGAAAGTATGGGGGGAAATGGTGACAAAAAAAGAAAAAAAAGAAAAAAAAACTGAAAGCAAGAAATTTTTCCCATAAGAAAAAAAATAGTGTTTACACTTACTTTAATATCATATTCATGGTCTCATTTCTGTCTTTACCTTGAAATGGCAGTGTACCAGTAAGCATTTCAAACTAAAACAACAAAAACAAAAAATAACACAATCAGTTTAACACAACTTAGAATATAAAATAAGATTCTTTAGGAAAAAAATTGAGACTTGTAATACATGTTCAGCAAATCACAGTATGTCAAAATAGGAGCAGGAAAACTAGGTCACTTAAGGAAATACACTTCTGGTACCTCACTATATATAACTCAACTGATAGATAACCTGTAGCAAATGAAACCAACCAACTTTTTTCAGTCCTGTGGGATTTGGTTACTAGAGAAATCTGGAAATAAACACATTTTTTAAAAACAAAAGATATGCTTTTAAAGCAAACAATGTAACTGACAATGGAAAGTAGAAATAAGCATAAAAACATTTCAAATTCATAGATGATCAAGAAAGATTTAGCCATTCTCACCCTGGCGGGTATGTTCCTCAGTGATTAGAGCATCAGTCCATACACCAAAGGGTCACAGGTTTGATTTCTTGTCAAGGGCAGGTACCTGGGTTGCAGGTTAGATCCCTGGCCCTGTTTGGGGCATGTGCGGGAGGCAAGAAACATCTCTCACATCAATGTTTATCTCTCTCTCCCTCCCTCCCTCTGTTCCACTCTCTTTAAAAAGCAATGGGGAAAAATATCCTCCATCGAGTATTAAGGAACAAAAAGGTTTTAACCATTCTCATTCCCCTTACTCCTCTGTAAACAGGAGCCAAAAAAAGAGAATCTACACACACACACACACACACACACACACACACACACACACACACACACCCAATAACTTTGAAAAAGAAAAACACTGGCACAGTTGCCCACATCATAAGGAAAACATTTTCCCTAAGAGATTGAATTGCAATGCAGATAACTATAACATTAATTAATGTTATAAAAAAGACCAGGTCTAAAAATGAAGATCACCATAATTCATTAAAATGTTTTTATATACCTAATATTAAAATCTTAAAGTTAGATTCAATAATGCCTTTGGTATCAGTCCTCTGTTCTTTTATGAACCACAGACTTAGTTATTAGCTTATCCATTCGCTCTCTCTTATACACTGATGACTCTCAAATCTTATCCAGCCTCAATCTCTCTCAGCCCCCTATTTTCCCTCCCAAATTGATAGTAAAGGTTATCAACTAGAAACTGAAGAGGTAGCTATGGGGAGTCAAAAAAATAAAAAAAATAAGGCAATTGTGATATATGGGGATCATTTCTCAACCTCTAGTCCCCCACCCCCAAACCTTTGAAATGTCTTTAACAAGCCCTGGCCAGGTGGCTAAGTTGGTCAGAGCATGGTCCAGATACGCCAAGGATATCATTAAGATTTCCTCTTTTATATTCTGTAACCTTACAACTGTCTTTGTAAGGAGACCTTGTTTATTTTCCTACTTCTAATTTTCTCCATTTAGAATCCATTTATATAATTCTGTCCAGGCCAATCTTCCTAAAATACATTTTTTCCTATAATTACCATCCTGTTTAAGAATCTGCAAAAGTTTCCTGCTACAAAGAGAACTGCATGTAAATGCTTAAGGTTTATAGCCTCATTTCCTCCAGTCACCCACATTCTTCACTACTACTTTAGTCAACTGGTTCTCCAGGTCTTTGCTAATATGATCACAATATTATACTTCTTGACATGCAGCTATTTAAATTTTATCCATCTTTTAAGGCTTAATTTAAGTTCCCTCTTCTATTTTTCCTATGTCAATTTATATTAATTTTAGCCTGAATTCCTAAGGTACTTCCCGGCAATTTATTTAGCTACTCTACTTGTTTCTCAACCTGACCATCTGCCTTCTTAGGTCATGGAAAATGCCAAATAATGTATGTATAGTCTGTTCCCACCCCACTGTTTTCCCCAAATGCCAGTATTATAATAGGTACTTAATATACAGATATGTCATATTGAGTGTTATTCAGTGATAAATAGGCAAAATGTATTATGAGGCTTCCAGAGCAAACTATATCTAATTCAATAGCTATTCTTTTTATCATCCCAATTAACACTGCAAATTATGTGCTTAATCTTATACCAAATTAGTTAATCAAGATGACAACTAGAGTAGGTACTGGAGGAAACAAAAAGTAGTATAACACATGGTTGCTCTCCTCAAGAGGTTTATAATCTTTCTAGGGACATCCTTAAAACAATTTGACTATAAGACAATATACGGTAAGGTATTAAATTCTGTGATAACAAATTAAAACAACATATGACCACTAAACACAGTATTCTGAAATCTAAAACTTAGTAGACTTTTTAAATAATTTTCAATTATAGTTGAAATACAATATTAAATTAGTTTCAAATATAGCACATAATGAGAAAATGTATATACCTTATAAGTAAACATTTGTTACTGTACAAAGTTATTCTGATATTATTGATTATATTTCCTATGCTGTATGTATTATAACATGCTCATGACATTTATTTTTAACTAAAAGTTTGTACCTCTTAATCCCCTTCACCTTGCTCACTCATCCCACACCAACCTTCCCTCAGGCAACCATTAGTTTGTTCTCTGTATTTACTATCAATAAATCAACAAACAACAAATGCTATCGAGGATGTGGAGAAAAGAGAATCCCAGCACACTGCTGGTGGGAATGCAGACTGGTGCAGCCACTATGGAAAACAGTACGGAGTTTCCTCAAAAAATTAAAAATGGAACTGCCTTTTGACCCCGAGATCCCACTTCTGGGAATATATCCTAAGAATCCTGGAACACCAACCAGAAAGAATATATGCACTCTTATGTCCATAGCAGCATTATTTACAATAGCCAAGATCTGGAAACAGCCTAAGTGCCCATTAGTAGATGAGTGGATAAAAAAGCTGTGGTACATTTACACCAGGGAATACTATACAGATGTAGAAAAGGAACTCTTATCCTTTGCAACAGCATGGATGAACCTGGAGATTATTATGCTGAGTGAAATAAGCCAGTCAGAGAAAGACAAATACCACATGATCTAAATAATATGCAGAATCTAATGAACAAAATAAACTGACAAACAAAATGGAACTGGAAACATGGATACATGGAAAGACTGGCCAGTGCCTGAGAGGAGGTGGGGTGAATGGATAAAGAAAGTAAAGGGATTAACTAAACAATACATATGCATATCCCATGGACATGGACAGTAGGGTGGTGAAGGCCAAGAGAGGGGGATGTAACAGTGAGTGGTGAGTGGAGATGGGCAAAGTGGGGAAATAAGGGAGAGACCTGCAATAATATCAACATCAAATATTTTTAATAAAAATAAATAAATA